TGCACTTTCTTTGGAGCCATGCTAAAAAGCACACCAGAAAGCTTCACAGCCAGTGTCTGTCTGCGATGTGATCTTGCCTACAGGAAGCCACGACTATGTGTCAGAGCAGGGAAGATGGCCGTGGGTCGTGTTCGTCACCCGATACGGAGTTTGCAAACAGAAGCAAAATGTTGTGAACACTGCTGTTCGTGAACCAAATTGTTCGTGAACAGAAGCGTTCGTGAACCGAGGTATTACTGTATGTTGCACCAGATTCTAACTGTCATCTGGATAGTCATCTATCGGGGATGGTGTAGTGAATCCTGCAGTGTGCAGAGGATTGAACTTGATGATGCCTTAGCCCCATCCAATTCTGTGATTCCATGTTCCTGCTGTTGGATTTCAGCAGCAATTGGAATTCAAGATAGACAGTCTCCTCCTGGTGTCTGTACCTGATCTATAATCAAGAGATGAGTATTAGCAAAAACAGGCTCTAGCCATCCTGCAGCCCCAGGCAATATGAATGTTGTATCTTGCAACTCCCACTAAAATATGCCTTCTATGTATGAGTGTTTTATATGTCAAATGAACTATATATTCAGATTTAAATGATTTCAGATTAAATCTAAATATTAGCAGGCTGTCTCTAGAAAACATTTATTTAATTTCCTTATTAAGGAAAACTACCCTGTTCTTGCTGATCAGAGCTTTGAAAATATTAGATTCCTTGCATTGGGGAGCAATGTCAGCTTGCCCCTAAAAAATGTTCAGTTTTTCCAGGGGGATTAGAATGCCTGGAGAGATCTGATCCATTCACATCTAAATTTTCAAACAGAAGGATGCTAATATTTTGTCCAGTGTGACCTGTTGACATTTCCCAACACTAACCAGCCACAAAATTATGCTAAACTTATTCACCACCATTAAAAACTTGCTATGTGTTTAAAAAATATATAAAATAGTAATAGTTTATATGGGTTCTAGGCTGTGTTAACGTTGCTCTGTTACATAAAAAAGAGTTGGTAGGGCTTGAGGAAGTCCTACTTAAAACCTGAAAAGCCATTACCAGTCAGCCTGGTCTGACTTCTTATAAGCTATCTTCTCCTGTGCCATTTCTAGGATTGTTCATGCAGTTTCTCATAAAAGGTTACAAAAGGTTTTGTTGTGGTTTGCATGAAAGGTGATTAGCAGCCCAGTAGTATCATCCACTTCAGTCTTCAGCTGACTGCATAAAATCCTCTTCAGATGTTTACCTGAAGATGTGAGAGCTGGAACTGGAAGGGGATGTGGAGCGACTAGTGGCCCTGCCTCCTGCTCTCCCCAACTTCTGTGCCTTTAGCTGGAAGGTCTGAAGGAGAGTTGTGCCTGTTTTCGAGGTAGTGCAAACAAAGGTCCTCCTCAGACCTCCTGTTTGAACCCATGGAAGTCAAAGAGAGCACAGTCCCGTCCTCCACATACATGTCCAAGTATTGTTGTTGTTGTTTAGTCATTAAGTCGTGTCCGACTCTTCGTGACTCCATGAACCATAT